CCCCATTGTGTACCCTTTCCAGTTTTGACCTATTATTTCTGCTCAAACTGGAACTGGTCATATGCTTCAGAAGTACCTGTTTACAGGTTGATGGGACATGAGACTGAGAGGGTTGAGATATAGTGGCTACAATTTGAAGGGGATTTTCACCTTTGTTGTTTTTGTTTCCATACTGTCCTTGAATAAGAAAATAAAGTTTGGGAAAATACCTGATGAAAAATTGTTTCATTTTGACTATTTTTGACATCTAAGGGAAGCTGTAATAACTAAAAGATTATAAGTCCTTGTCCTCCAGGACACAGAATAAATTCATCAAAATTTTCCTGTCATAATATACTTTGGTCTATGCATGGGCTACCTTATTGAAGAATATTCAGCTGCATGAACTTGTATGATTTATTTATCTTCATATCTTCCTGTTTATTTTCCTTGATAAACACTCAAGTTTTCATTTTTTTGCTTTTATGAACAGTGCTGCTATGAACTTCATCAGTGGCCCCCCACTCTCCCCAATCCTATCTATAACAGTTGTTTCTTGATGTTGGTATTGATCAGGCAAGTATGATAAGAAACTAAAGTGTACCTTGGGAAGAGGGTACTGATGGGTTTGCCAACTCTGTTTCGCCAAGGAAGGGGATTTAAAATAATCTAACACAGTTTCTAATATCACCATCATTTCCTGCATGCTTAGATCCCCAAAAGTAGATGCATGTGATTTCACAAGAGAAATTGAATGTATTTTAATTTATGGGAAATTCACTACATTTTTCATTTTACTCTCAACTGGTGAAGATTTTCCCACAATGTGTAGTGATGTGCTTGGCACTTAGACCCAAGCATGCCTGTATTCCCTAGAGAAGATACTGTTTCTTGTATGTGACTGACTTACTGAGCTCTGACTTTCCAAATGAATTCTGTGATTACAAAGCTAATTGTCAGTGTGATGTAATGGGAGTTACAGGGTAGGGCCCCACTGCTGCCCCTACCAAATTTAGTGGCCCTGAGACAATCTCTGGGCTTCATTTCCTTCATTTGAAAAAAGGAGTTGTTGAGCGTATTTAGTTTTCAGGATCTCTCTAGCTTCTTAAGTTTCCATAATTGTAAAATTTGGCCTACTTATTTCCACATACTGCATGTAACTGCCTCCCTAGGATGAGATTCCTCAGGGTATAGGTTATACCTTAATCACCCCCTCCATACCTACAAACAGTACCTAGCATGTTGTTTGGCTCCATCCCCTACCTTCCAAAGACCAAGTATTACATATATCTAATCATGTTCCTTATCTTTAGGTCTCGGCTTTAATGTCACTTAATGTAGACATTATTAAGAATGTAATGTAAACATTCTTTTCTTCTGATCATCCTCCCCATTTTATTCCCATAGCATCCTGTTTTTCTTCATGGCATGAACTGCAATTTTAAACACTAGCTTTGTCCTTTGGCTTGTTTGATATCTGTCTCTCCCACTGAGTTCCCAGAGTACCTGTCTTGTTTATGCCGTGGACTCTGCTCAGCACAGTGTCTGGCTCATAGTAAGCATTCATTAAATGATTGAATCCATGTGTACCTCATCCCCTGTTTGAACATTACAGATAGCCTAGTACACATGCCCTTTCTTTGTTCTGAGCCTGATTATTTTCCCCCTGTCATCCAGATATAATTCCTCCTTCTCACACTTACCAGATTGTGTCCTGTGTTGTGGTTCTGCATGTGTTCCTGTCTTTGCTTAGATAGCAAGTGGGAACTCCTTGTCTGAATCATCTTGAGTATCCAGCACAGTGCCCTGCACATAGGATTTGCATATTAAAGCGGATGCAGATGTCTTTATCCTTCAAATGTGTTGATATTTGAGGCATATCTATTTTTTTCTATGTCCTTTTCGTTGTGACTAAAGCCCCATTTGAACGCTTCATCTCCAAGGATCCCTGATGCCTTTATGCAGTAATGAACTTCCTGGTTTTCAGGTTGGTGTGTGGCCGCTTTGTGGTGGTGCAGAATTGTACCAGTTTGTCCTGTTCTCTTAAGTTGGGTGTCTTTCTGCAGTTTAACCTTTTGATTTTGCTTGCAGGCACTCCATTTAAGTGGCTGTGGGTTGTGAGCTGAGATCTTGCTGTCTTCTGTCTTTGGCACTTTCAGCATTTCCTCTTATGTTTACAAGCTAGTTTCTCTTTGGCTGTTTTTTTTATTTGGGGGACTAAAGTATAACAGATAAGGTAAGGGTAATTCAGCCTGATGACTGATCTGGAAGTGGGATGACTCTACTACTCCAGAGAGTAGAGGTTGGCTACCTTTCACAGGTATTGGAATAAATTCCAGATATTTCCTGCTCTTTTGAGATAGGAGTTTGTTGAATGCATGGAAAATGAGGTGGGCTCTCCCTCTCCAGACAAATATTTACCACTTAGTATCTTAGAATATCTGGGGACTCAGCTGAGCTCTGAGTGGGCGAGGGCCCAGTGAGCAGCCGAGAATGGAAGCTAGGAGGAAAGAGAAGGGCCTGAGAGGATATGTGTAAGATTATCAAGGAAATCTGACCTCCTTCCTGCTTTTCTCCTCAGCCACCTCCATGGCCCCTTGCCCCCTCACTTCCTATGCTCTGGGGTCTCATCTTCAGTTTTGCTTTCTCTTCGTGCCCAAGTCTATTTACCAAACCTTAGTGGTTAGGCAGACTTGTAAGTAGTTTATTTATCAATAATCAGGTAGAGGTGCCTCATCAGCATATTCTCAGAAGCGTTTGCCTATATAATTCTGGTTTGCTTGGTGTGGGATAGAGCATACTGATTCTTTAGGATTAATCTTAGTTCACAGTTCTAATTCTTTTAAAAGGGCTTAATCTCTTATATGTTTTTAAGAATGCCAAGTATATAACATTAATCACAGGTTACTGGCAATTTCTTGACCATGCTGAAACCCTGCATTAAGCTCTATGCTAGGCTCTGAGCAAATAACCACCATGTACTTTGATTTTGAATTATTGTAGAATATCTGTAGCGTATGATTCTTAAATTGGCATTTGGACATCACTGTCAGTTGTTTAGTAATAGTGCTTTCACTTGGTTATGTGCTTGACATTTTTATGTTAAAGAAACTTTTCTCAAATACACTATTCTATACACTATGGTGACTTAAATATTTGGTAGTTGGAATTTAGTATATTGTAGAGTTCCTAATCTGCTTGTAAGTAAGTTTATGGTGAAAAAATAGTCTTTTGAGTGGGTGAAGAAATGGCAGCCTGGAGTTGTGTGTATGTGTGTGTATTTATCTTTAATTTGAATTTCCCAAGTTAGAGTGATTATCGTAGTTTGACCTTACCATATTAGAAATGTATTACATGACAGCAGAAAACAGTTCTCAAGATTAGTGTCTTAAGAACAATACCCTACTTTGTATAGTGTCTGGCAATTTTTACAAGCCATTCTTTCATTATTTATTTCTTATAAAAACTGTTTGCTATGCAGAGTGAGAAAAATCTGTCCATCATAGATGACGAAAGTTAATCAAGGTTAAGAATTTGTTGGTTGGCGGGCGTGGTGGCTCATGCCTGTAATCCTAGCACTCTGGGAGGCCAAGGTGGGCAGATGGCTCAAGGTCAGGAGTTCAAAACCAGCCTGAGCAAGAGCCAGACCCTGTCTCTACTAAAAATAGAAAGAAATTAATTGGCCAACTAAAAATATGTAGAAAAAATTAGCCGGGCATGGTGGCACATGCTGTAGTCCCAGCTACTCGGGAGGCTGAGGCAGAAGGATTGCTTGAGCCCAGGAGTTTGAGGTTGCCATGAGCTAGGCTGATGCCAAAGGCACTCTAGCCTGGGCAACAAAGTGAGACTCTGTCTAAAAAAAAAAAAAAAATTGTTGGTCACACACAGTACTACTGAGAAATAGATTTAGGACCAGCAGCCATTGTCTTTGGACCTCATATAGGATTTTACTTTCTGGTCTATGTCCCCCTTAGTTGTCTGTTAGGCTGGGATTTGAGAGTGAGATGTTTACTTCTCTGAGGCCACTCCTAATCCTGACTCTGGTTTGTGTGAAAGCTTAAACTCCAAATATCCCAAATGCTACATAGTATTGAGGCTTGACTTGTCTTGGCCTTTGTTTATCTGGCCATCTGATAACTCTTTTGAAGAACTGAACTGAAACCTTCATTTTAATGCAAATGGATGCATTTAGTTCTGATATGTTGGATATGGGAAATAGTGGCTATATTTTGGGAGGATGCTGTGTTTTATGCATGATAATTTTTTGATTTGAATTTAGACCAATCCAATATGCTTATTTCTGTAAACTTGGCTGTTACTGAAAATATAAAAATTTTGTGTGGGCCAATATAGTTATGGATGTGAGCTAAGAGGTGTACCTCTTACCTAATACTAACATTCTATTTATATGATCACAGTAAATTGACCAAAAATATTATGAGAAAATGATTAGACAAAGACTCATAAGGAGTTAATATTATAAACTTCTATCAAATTATGAGTATTTGGTATATGGAAAGCCATTTTCCAAGTTTAATTAGATTGGAAATTTATCTTAAGAGTTAACCATTATGTCTCAAGGGGAGAACCCTAAGTATTTGTTAGTGTTTATATTTAAGTAAAATGTGAGAACTTCAGATTCTCTTTATAAAGTTCTCTATTGTGTGACTGCTTTCTTGTTTTTGAATCTCATACACTAGATTAGGAAACAAATATAAAATGATTATTATAATGTACTACTGTTTAATGCCAAATGTTGGTCTGTTCTTAGTTCATGTTTTCTAATACAGCCTCTGGAAGAATCAACCTAGGTCATGTGTGAGGTTTTGCAGAATGGGTGATTATGCTCTGCACATTTAGGAAGCCATACTTTACCTAATAGAGATTGGGCTGGAAGTTAAATGAGGATTTTATTTTTTAAAGGAAAATTACCATGAATTCCGGGGGGGGGAGGGGGGAGTCAATAGCATTAATGTAATAGTCTGCGATCTTAAAGATTTAGTTGATAGGAAATAATTTAATGTGCCCTATAAAACCCTCAGTTTTGGAGTTCCTCCAGTTTTTTATTTTTAGCTGTGACTTTTTAGTTAACAAGAGGTGAAAAAAGTATAGTTTTCTCCTGGTCTCTGCCTAAAATTACTGAAACTTTCAACGCTGTGAAAGTTCAGGGGATTCTGGGAGACTTAGGGATTCTTGGAGACCATTGTTATGAAATGGGTGGTAGTGTGGCCTCCTCTTTGTTTAGACCTCCATTTCTAGATTAGGAAAAAAATGGCACGTTAATTACCTTCACATTTTAACCAAATTGTAATTGCTCTGATATTGCCAAATGGACCTAAGAACAGTCTTGTAGTACTTGGAAAAGTTATACAGGAAACAAAATAGCAGCTTCAGGGACAGGGAGGAACGCGTTAGTTTCTGAGTCTAAGCAAGCAGAAGGAAGCCCACAAACCCTCTAGTGTTTATTCTCCATCAGCCACTTCCCAAATAGTCCATTTACCTGCTATAAATAGCCAATCTTCAGGCAGGGCTTTGCTCTCTTTCCTTGCCTTGGAAGACTTTCTGCAGGCTCTGGAATTGCCTTTGTCTGACTGCCTGCCTGCTTGGCCAGGATGAAGCAAGTTTTCATGGGAATCTCCTGGGGAAATAGAATACGGCAGAAAAAGTATGAAGATCTTTCTTTCAGTCTGTTCTGTCCCTGCTTACCCACTATTCTACCTCCAAAATGCAATTTGTAGTGTCATAAAACAGCTTTTAGAAAGTTTAAACTGGAAATTTGTTTAATGTTAATTCAAAGGCTTCTGATATATACAAGGTGAATTTTATCTTTTTGTGTGTGATTTTTATCCTGGATAAAATAATTTCTTTATGATATCAAAATATTTAATTGGGTCTGAATTAACTTTCTTCTCAGTCCCCAGAAGGGACAGGGAGGGTATACTTAATTCTTTGTGGACAAGGTGGCATTCTAGTCCAAATTCAGAGTTGTGTAAGCATGCCAAAATGGGTCTCGTTTTAGGGTGCCTTGAATGTATGTGGCAGTCTTATTAGGATGTTTAGTAAAACAGACTTGATGTTTCTTTACCTCATTTTTGATTGTGCTTACTCATTTGACTATTTTCATAGATTAGGTCTAAAATTAAAGATCCTCAGTTTATATGACCAGGATATGTCCAAAGCAGTTAAGATTAATTCACCCCCACCCCATCCCATCATTAGTTGTATCTGTATGCAGTGTCTACAGTGAAGTTTCCACGCATTTTATGCTTGGAATACCCTACCCCCCAATGTTTGGCCTTATGAACCTGTCCACCACTGTGGTAGAAAAGCTGTGTACTCTAGCATGTTTGACATCCAGGCTATGATACTCTTTTACTTGGGATCTAGCCCTTTTAGGGACTAGGACATTAAGGAGGGAGTATTGGAAGAACTGGAAAGAACATGCCCCATTTAAAGGACAGCCTACTGGCTAGTAGCTCTGTGGGAATGTGGACTTTTGTCAATCTCTTTTTTTTTTTTTAAAGAGAAGTCAGAAATATTTTGTAATGTAAAGTTGCTAAATTGAGGAAGTGTAAAATATTAAATGCTACTGACTCAAAAAAAAAAAAAAAAGGCATAAGATAGGCCAAATAGCATGTTTGCAGACTAACTCCACCCTCTGGCCTGGAGGTTGAGGAGTGTTACATTTCTGCTTGTTTTCCACTATGTTTTTTGACTTTTCTCTGAGAGGCATGTACACAATCATGTGTGATTACTGGTGACTATTTTTTGGGCACTTTTCTTTTTTCTTCCTCTAAATGTTACCTCGTTTCAACTTTGTGCACAAATTATTTAAGCATAGTCCATTGTTGTCTTTTAATTTTATTTTTGGTTTTACTAACTGGCTGTCAGATTGTGTTCTTTATTTGAATGCATAAATACTCTTAAGAAGATTGGGTCCTTCCCATCCACCTTCATCCCTACCTTTTCTCCCTGCAGGTCAGAGCCACTATGGGGTCTTATTCACCTTGCTGTCAGGTGTATGATGAACTTTGTACCATAAAGAATGTTAAAAGTGGCATCCTGACTGCTGTTTCTGTTGGCTATGCCTGTTAGGCCTTTGTTAATGTGTAGTGAACCTTAATGAATAAAAAGGAGGATTTCACTTGTTTGCATTTTGGTCAACTCTTAATGTAGGAGGCCAACTGTCTAGTCTTAGCAGTTCAAGGAATGGGTCATTTTCAGTTAGAGCAAGAAGTTACTTCAGAGAAATATGTCTGACTTGGCCAAGTTATGCACAGTAGCTGTTCTTTCTTGATCTGATGGCAGTGAAATTTGGTCTGATGAATGTTCCAGTGCAGTGCCAGCTTTCTTAATTTACTACTCCCACTTCTCCTGCTGTGGTCCTCCCCTCCCCCATCCCCCAGCTTTTGCGTTTTTGAAATGAAGAATAAAAAAGTGTCCTGATTCCTCAACTGTGTTCCGAGGCCTGCAGTTCCCAGATCTTTGTTGTGAATCCTGGGCTTTAGGCTGACAAAAGATAGCTGTAGAAAGCATGCTTGGGTGGAGCAGAAGGACGTAGAAAAATCACATTTCTAAGCCATTCTACTTCCCTCATAGTGATGATTCTGACCTAGAGATTGGCAATCAAAATCAAGTCAAGGAACTCTTTAAAATATGTCGAAGTTAGAGTGTACTTGAGTAGATCTCTCCCCTTTACAGAAGAACAGTGAAAACTTTGGATTTGGGGCATAGTTCCCTTCAGAAGAATGGCTTACGATCGTTTTCTTCAAATCCATCTGATATTAAAGTAGTAGATGATGATGAGAATTTCTTTCCTTTTAGGGTGACCTGAAAGAGACTTTAGTCATAACTGCTCTATACGGTATTGCCTGGTACATAGTAGGTGCTTCCTGAAAGTCTTACCAACAGTAAAAGACTGTATTTACTGCCAAGCAATTTACATGTTGAATCTACTGTAATGAGAGAATTCTTTTAAAGAAACTTGCACTTTATATAGGGTGCAGTTGTAACAGGAAATGGGTACCCAGAAACTTTTAAGCAATTCTAAATCAAGAAAACTTCAACCTGCACTTCTCTGTAATTTCAAAATTTCGTAGGCAAAAGTCCAATTTAAGTGTGGATGCTGTGCACAATCTCCTATTCTTTAGTATTTAATACATTGGAAAGCAAAATGCTTCATTTCTTTGTGCTCAAATATATATACAAACTCAGATGTTTAAGTTAGAGGTGGTAGTTTCCATAGCAGCAGTGATTTTTGCCTTTTTATTTTTTTCTTGGATAGCAAAATATTTAGCACAGGTCAGCTAGAGAGATTATTATTCCTGGCTGTGAGTTCTTCAAGGTTTCCTTGTGTACCTTTGACTTCTCTGGGTGCCTTTCCTGAGCCCAAGTATGTTCTGGAGAAGCTCTTTGAGGGTTAGGAATGTTGAGTGTGTTTTGTGCACCTTTGTTTTCCCAGAATCTAGCACAGTGCCTGGCACATCCCGTGAATTAGGGATGTTGCCTTTCTGGCCTTGGGTGGTTTCTTCTGTGCTCCTCTTTCTGGTATTATTCTACACACCACACCTTGGCTGGGTTGGGGGAGAGAGGTATAAACTTCAGGTGTGGCGTTTTTATGTATCAGTGGTGAGATTAGCTTATTTTAAATTGAGATGTGATAGCAATGGAATATGCTAGTCTTTCCTTCTCTCCCTTCTTTCCTGAGGCTTACATAATTTTAAGAGAGGCTTGTAGCTAGGAATTAAAAAAAAAATGCTGACTTAACTGGAAGCTTGAGCTTAAAATATAAGAATTAGTAGCTATATCTGGAAGAGGATGTGCGTGTTAGGGGTAGGGCTTGACGGCCCACTGTAAATCTACCTTCCCCTTTGTAAACAAACTGAGATGACTTTGGCTCCTTCAGGTATATAGGGTTGCAATGGGAAAGTTTCCTCACTTGGCAGGGAATGTAAAACCACATGGGTAAATAAGCAGGATGTTTTTTAATTGCCATCTTGAATCACACTTCACAGCGTTTGTTCTCACTCTGTCTTCATATTTATTACTGAGGAGACAAAGGAAGTGCATGGGGCATACAGGAGTGAAGAGGAGGAGGCCTGTTGTGCTCCAACTCAGTGGTTCGCAGGAAGCTTCCTGGAGGCCTTGCATCTCTTCCTGTGCTGCGGATGTTTTCCATTAGCCAGGAGAAGGGTAGTGAGGCTGCTACAGGTGGAGGAACGAGGTGGTGTGACTCTGGGAACGAGGAACTCCTGGGAGTCTGTTAGGGCTTCTTGTATACAGTGGGGATCAGTGGGCACCAATTCAAGTCGGATGCTTTGCTGTGGAGCTGAGGTGGCCGCTTTGTAGGCACTGTGCTGTCAGCAAAGGCTTTAAAAAGAGATGGTGGTGGGGTGCTGATCACTGCAGCCATGGGATGGAGGATGGTTTGGAGAAGGCATGAGTCTGGAAGCAGGGAGATCAGCTAGGAGGCTCTAGGTGGGGTCTCTGCTTAATTCTTGTGTGGACTCTAGAAAATTTTGAAATCCTCATTTGTAAAATGAAAAAATGTATCCAGCTCATAGTGCACAAGAGGATTAGATGAGGTTTTGTTTGTAAAATGGATAGTTTGAAGGCCGATGTGGAATAAGGAATCAATAAACACTAGTTTCTTTTCCTTTGCCACTTTTTCCTGCTCTTTTTTAGTCCTAGGATTTATTGATTTCTTCTACAAAACGCAGTAAGATCATTTGAACCTCTTCCCTGTAGAAAAAGATATCCAAATTCTATGGAGCATTTAGGAGGATGCCTTTATTTTTCTTTTCATTTAATTAAACATGATCTTAAAGCCACAGTTAGTGTAGGCTTAGAAAATGTTTAAATTTAGGTCATCTTGAAATCATGATAGGAGAAAGATGGTAGGAGAGTGTATAGTTTCATATGGATGTACCTTATATGGATCATTTCGCTGATCTGTGTATTGTAGAAACTTTGATACCATGTGATAGTATAATGTGCACATCTTCAGTCTAGATTCTAGAGTCATGAATTAGATTTCCACACTGCCTTTCTCCCTGTTTTGTAATAATATATCTGGATATAAGTAGAAGATTCTTGGGATTGTCCTTGAAGTTCTTACCACGGGGGAGCAGGGAGGTAGCAGTTTCTAATCTTAAAAAATTAAAATTCCAAGAGGCTGAGCAGCTGAACATGAGAAGACTGAATTGGGGAGGATGGAAGATATTCACTTTTTCAAGGAGGAGGGAGCATGCACTTCTAAAAGTAAGGTAAATTGAAATAGGCAAGGCTGTAATTCTAATGTGAAACACTTAGGCTATTGGCACTCTATATATTTAAATATAGTCTTTCGAGATCTGGGGTTAAAAATTGCAGCATGGCAAGTAAAAATTCTTAACTTCCTTAGTCACCATTTGTGACTATGCTAAATGTAGTTTAACATAGCATCTGCTTCAGAGGCCCAGGACAGGAGTTGACAGTCATGATTAGGAAAAGTCTGCATACTGTAGCTGCTGTCCACAGTATTCCCTTTTCTTGTTAAGATCCTAGCACAACTCTGCAGTCTTCTTACTTATTTAGATGTGGGGAAGAGAAATGACTAATCCTTAACCTAAAAGACACATAAGCAAATTTTTTATGGTAACATTTTAAGAGAGTTATCTTCCTTTG